ATTCCAAAATCTTATGTGTTGTAAGGGTCTCTTTCATTTGTCTGTTGTTTCTATTCGTTCTTATTCATGGTATCCTGTGTCATGGGTTATTTTTGACTGTTTAGACACTGCATTAATATTTGAAAAATAATTTGGAGGAATATTTTGATGCCTAGGAGGATGGCTTCACTCTCCAGAGAAAATTTTTTGTTCAGTTCTACCAGGTGTCTAAGAATGCTTACAGTCTGGGACCACCTGCACTGCCAGATGGTGGGACTTTCTTGTAAGGCCTGGTTTTCTTTGGGCCATCTCCTCTCCCAACCCTATGGTTCAGATCCCAGTTCAAAGCTAGGAGGTGGTTAGGGCTCTGGGCTTTGACTACTATCCCTTCAACCCCATGAGGCTGCCAAAAACCCCATTCAGCTTTGTGGCTACTTTTTAGGATCAGGGATAGTGGCATTGAGTGTCTATGCTTGTTTTTCTGAGTTATCACTCTTTAATAGGTATTAGCCTGACAGTTTCTTAAAACCTTGTAAGCTTTTTGATTTCAAGATTTTTTTTAATGTTTCTCTTTAGTTATTTTAGTGGGAAGGTTGTTCAGAATTACTAGTCAGATATTAATGGAAGCTGAACCCCAGGATCTTTTCATTATCCTTGTAGTTCTGAAATTTTACAATGGTATATGTTCTAGATCCTTCTAGAATTTGTAGTGAGGCTTTCTTTCATTGTGCTGTGTACTAAGTAGGCCCCTTCCGTTTGAAAATTCATGCTTCAATTCTGAAAATTGTATTATGTCTTTGATAATTTTCTACCCTCTGTTTTCTTCATTCTCTTCTTTCTAAAATTCTTTAATTCTAATCTAGTTCTAAATTCTAAAATTCTGATCAGAATTGAGCTTCATGGATTGATTCTCTTCTTTTCTCTCTTATTTCATTTTGTTAACTCTGTCTTTTTGTTCTCTTCCTGGGAGATTTCCCCAACTTTGTCATTTACCCATTCCACTGACATTTTAATTGCTATCATTTTTAATTTCCAAGAGCTCTTGTACTGGTGTTCTTTTTAGAAAATGTGCCTTTTTCTTATTTCATAGGTAAGTATCATCATTCAGGATATCTTCTATCTGTGTATATATATTTTTTAAAGGGTTTTTTTTTTTTTTTTTACCTCTCTGTTACATCTTTTTCTTTTGAATTCCATTTTTTCCTATGTATTTTGCTGTCTCCTTCATGATGGAGACCTTACTAAAATCTCTGGTGATCCTTGGCTGCTCACTTCCATTTTAGTGAGGCATAAAATGTTAATTGGGTGCTCTCTGGGCGTTGGTGGAATTTGTTGGGGTTTTGTGCTTCCCTCGAGGGCGAACAGGCAGGGACTAGGCGTGGCCCTGAATTCTCAGTACCTTTAGGCTTATTCTGTAGATAAGGGCTCTCCATGTGTTCCTTACGGATTGCAGAGGCCTTGCCACCTGTGTTTTGGGAGCTAAGCTGTGGGAGAAGGCTGGGGGTTCTCGTGTTTAGTATGTCGACCTTCACTTGACCCCATTCAACCCCGGTGAGCCCTAGCTTTAGAGGTTTACATGTAGAACAAGGGTTGGCAAACTTTTCTATAAAGGGCCAGATAGTAAATATTTCAGACTTTGTGGGCCACATGGTCTTTGTTGCAGTTACTCAACTCTGCTATTGTAGTGTGAAAACAGCCATAGAAAAAACGTAAGTGAAAGTGGTTATGTTCCAATAAAACTTTGCTTTTGGGCACTAGAAATTGAATTTTATATAATTTTCATGTATCATGAAATAGTACTCTTTTGATTTCTTTTTTCCCCCCCAACCATTTAAAAACGTGAAAATAACTCTTAGCTGCAGGGAGCCACAGCATTGGTGTAGAGACCCAGCAGAATGGTGTTAGGGAGGGCTCTGGGGACACAGATCTAACTGCTGTTTCTGTGGACTTCCTGGATTTCTCTGGTGCGAGTTGGCCTGCTGCTTTTGAGCATCCCTTTCTGAAGGACTTGGGTATCGGCTTTCCCCACTGTTGAGGTAGTTATTACTAATAAACTTAGTTAAAACTTTAAAATTTGTCTCCTTTACCCATAGTCTTTTGTCTTTGTGTCTTTTCATTCCTTTACTGTCATTTTAGAAGGGTTTGGGAGAGAGATGTATATACGCAGTCTTGCATCATCTTGTTTTTATACTGCATTTTTTTAAAAGTTCCATCCACCTTGATTTGAATAGCCTGGTTTCTTCAAGAGTAGAAATTTGCTTTCTTCCTCAGCTGGAATAATAAATAATTCTGCTTTTCTTCTTGCTCTTCCTATGGGAGGGAAGAGAAGGGTGAAAACAAATTCTTTGATTTGTTAACAACAGTGGATGTGAATCTAAGTTAATTTCTACTTGCTTAGGTGCATTTGTTCTGCCACATTTACCAAATAATGATTCCTTTCCATATCATTGTGTTATTGGTTTAGTATATAGCAAATACTTACTGTTGGTTTAAATCAAGTTCTAGAATAATTATTCTGTTAAATTTATTTTCAATGCAATATAGATAATGACCACTTTTAATAAGTAAAAGTGACTTGATTTTATTATTTCCCTTTAACACTAATAAAGTTTGCCTATGATGTACCTCCTTCTTGTAGACATTAACTATATTTCAGACAGAGTTAGCAAGTAGGGAGGAATACTTTGGAGCAATCCCTGACACTTTTATACCCTCTGGCCCCCACTAACACACTATCATACTCTGATAGGCAAAATGAAAGCTGCTTTAGCCCTGGAAGAAAGGGAAGGGAAGGCCGAGAGAGAAAGCAGGAGCAGTTAGAAGATTCGAAAGCCAGGGAACTGGATAAAATTGCCCAAGAACCAAAGTAAGAGCCTGTATTTATTGCTGTCAGTTGGCAGAGGCCTTAGTGGCACATGGTGCAGCAGGGTCCCAGCCTGGTTGTGCATGTGAATCCCTGAGGGAGCTTTCATCTGTGCTTTTATCACAAGACTGGTACAGATGGTAAACTGAGTCCAGAGTTGCTGATTGCTAGTCACACTGCTGGGTTGGAGCCTAATGCACTGCCCCAAGCATAGGTTGTGAATTCCATAGACCTAGGTTCCATTCCTGGCTGTACAGTCATGTGCCACATAATGATGTTTTGGTCAGTGACAGACCGCATGTACAACAGTGGTCCCATAAGATTAGTAGCATATAGCCTAGATGTGTAGTAGTCTATACCATCTAGGTTTGTCTAAGTACACTCTGTGATGTTCACATGACGGTGAAGTTACCTAACGACACATTTCTCGGGATGTATCCCCGTTGTTAAGTGATGCATGACCGTACTACTTACTAACTGGTGACCTTGGCCTGGTTATATAATCTGCCTGAGGCTTGTTTTCCATATTTGTAAAATGGGGATAGTGATAGTCCATATTTCATGGAGCTGGTATGTAGATTAAATGACATAATATGTATGAAATGCTTAAAACAATGCCAGATGCTCGGTAATTTTGGTACTTAATTGAACTAGAACTCACGTCTTTGCTATGTATTGAATTGCCTCATCTCTTCCTCTGCAGAAAGTTCTTGTTTAGGATTAAATTGTATTCTTTTTCCCTTTGGTGATGAAATACAATAGCAGATGTTTATTTTTATCTAAAGTCGTGTTTAAGAGTTTTACTATATGTAATTTGCATGTTTGCTTCATTTTAAAATCTGATTCTTATTAGATTTTGACAGCTAATGATTATTATAGAAAAGCTTGTTTTCCAGGCCCAAAAATCCTCCTGAAAATCATGGCTGACTTGTTTTGTACTTGGCTCATGTGGCTATGCCTTCTGCGTGCTCCAAACACCATGACTTTCTTGGATAAGAATTTTCTCTTTGGAATAGTCTTGTCATCAAAATCTAGGCCAAGGATCAACACTTAGATCACAGCCTTGACCAGCAAAGATTTAAATTTTAAATATGTAATTAATTAGTGAAGTTGTTCTTAAGTTGCAGAACCAATAGCATGTCAAAATTGCAGAGGACCATAAGTGTAACCTCAAAAGTAATTCATAAAAGAGCTGTTTGAAAGTATTACGGAAAGGATGTACATGATCCTTTTATTTTAGTAGTTTAAACCAATGTGAACTGTGTGTTCAGGAGTTTTTTCTTTTTTAAAAAAGTTGGGTTTTTTTTTCTTACGAAAAATATATATTCATGGTTAAAACTTCCTACAGTACAGAAAGATGTTTAGTGAAATAAGACCTCTGCACTCCTATACTCATTCCACAAGAGAGTAGGGGTTCCTTGGGTATCCATCTGAAATATCCTTCTGCTAGCTCTGAGGCCGTGCTGTAGAATCTTAGGAGTAATGAGAAAACTATCAAAAAGTTTAATTCATGTTTAATTAGAATTCCTTGAATAAATGGGGCATGAGAAAAAATAGCAATTGCCTGGGTAAGAACTGGCCAGACTAGAGTGAAAATATTTTGTTTCTCCACAAGCGCTACATAGAGCAAATGTTACTGTTCATAAAATAGTCTAGAATCCAGAAACAACCAATCAAAGCTCCTGAGACACCAGACTGATGTCAGGACTTTGAGTCCCAGCATCCTTTCCAAGCTCTTTATCATCTCATTCCATGTCGTTATAGTGAGCATGGTGATCTTTTTTCCAAAGACACAAAGCTGAGAAGTACCAAAGGAGATAGTGGGAGCTAAGTAGAGCTGACACTGATGACTGCAGCTTAAAAACATACCCAATGAAAAGAAATAAGAAAAAGAGGCAAGAGGATCAACATTCGGAAAGGCACACATAGACTTTAAAAGCCATAGTCTGTCCTTTGCTTTGTTTTGAGGGCAGGTTAAAGAAGAATATAAAAATCAGTGGTTCACTATAAGGACCCTAAACCATTAAGTGTTTATTATAAAATTTTTACTTGTGTGAAACACCAGTTTATGGTAAGGCTGACTGAAGCTTCATTGTATGCATAATGTCTTAGTAATTTTTGAAATCCCAATCAAAATTATTTTATATTTGATTTTCAGTTCCACTTACTTATATGATAATTTCAAGAGATGTAATGTTGATTGCTGCTGTTTTTTATGTCAGATATCGAACTCTTCCAACACCGGTGAGTTTGTTTCAAAAAAATATATTTTTACTATTACTTATAACTTAAGGCAAAAAAAAAAAATCACCCTATCGTATACCGAGTTTCACTTTATGGGAATAATTTATGGCATTTTTTTTTTGATCCATTAACCAAGAGTGGAAAAAAAACACAGCAGACATAACTATCATCTTGCTGTTTGAAGTACCCATGGAGGTAGTTGTTCAGTGAACATATGAATATCAGAAATCAGTTTTAAAAAGCCATGTTTTTGTTTTAAGTCAAAATCTTTTCCGTTGATACCACATAAAATTTAGACAGCTCACCCCGTCCCTAGCAGCACTTAGGAGTGTTGTGCGTAACCTGGCCCCCTTTCCTCTCTAACTTGGTCTCTGCTGTGGCTTACATAGAATTGGGTTTGTCTGCTTGTTTGTTTATTGGTTCTGCAAATATTTGAGCACATAAGCATAGCATATACCCATCTTTTGGTTCATAATCCAGTGAAAATAGGAGTATTTTATTCATTTTGTTTTTTAATCTATAAAAGAAAACAAGGGTGATTTATTGAGTTCATTTAGTAAAAAGGAGTTGTCATGCAGACTTTATGATAGTTATTGTGTTAGAATTTTATAGGAATGGAGAAATAAATCCATTTAAGTTTTTTTTTTTTAAAGATTTTATTTTTTTCCTTTTTCTCCCCAAAGCCCTCCAGTACATAGTTGTATATTCTTCGTTGTGGGTCCTTCTAGTTGTGGCATGTGGGACGCTGTCTCAGCGTGGTTTGATGAGCAGTGCCATGTCCGCGCTCAGGATTCAAACCAACGAAACACCGGGCCGCCTGCAGCGGAGCACGTGAACTTAACCACTCGGCCACGGGGCCAGCCCCCCATTTAAGTTTTAAAGCTCTATTTTCAGTAGCCTGTGTATGATGTATAAAGAATATAGATACGCTCATTCAGGATAATGAAAGAGGATGCAGATAAAGGGTTCATCTAGCACAGAGCCAGGCGTGTGGTAAACACTCCATAACTGTTACATCGAATAACAAAATGTTTATTTTGAACTTGAAGGATAAATTGAATAAACTTTATCTTTTTTGTCCTCTGCCAGCGAACACTTTCTAAGTATTTCAATCCTTGCTATGCCACTGCTAGGTTAAAACCAACCTTCATCAGCAAGGTAAGAGACACACAACATCCTTTTAAGTTAGTCCCTTGTGGATATTTATTATAGTGAATGTAAACCTCAGTCTGGAGCAGCTGAAAATGAGATGAATTTAAATGCATTGACTACAGAGGTAGAGAGTGGGGTCCTTAAGTCTCTGAATGAGGTATATAAGGGCCACCATTTAGGGAAGGTAGAGGGAATGGAAATGTAATTGCATCTTGATTGAGACACAAAGAGATTATGAACATCCTTTCTGGGTTCACTACTCCTTTCCCTGTGGTTGGAAACACCATGTAATAAGGTCCTTTTGTTTTTAAGATCGATTGTTACATGGAAGGGGATAGGAGACAATTTTATTCACTGATAAACAACTGCTACTGTGTCATCCATCCTATTTTCCTGAGCCCTCTTCACACAGAAGATGTATGCCAATCTTTGCACACCCAGAGGACACTATTAATGCCTCTCAAGGCACGTTTGTTTTTTTAGTGGCCTTGATAGGTTTGCTCCAATCATTGTTTTGCCCCATCCCTTGTGACAGAGGTTTAAGAGGTTAGGGATACCAGTCATCTTTAGGGCAGAGGCTGATTACTTTCATACCAGAGACTTCCTGGGGTTCACTTTTACCTACATAGATGGTTTTTTTAATTCAAGTGACTTATATTTGTATCAAGTACAGTGATTTGAGTGTAGCACTACATAGAAAGTGGCTTAAAGAGGTGCAGGCACAAATGCCTCAAATCCTTGGTCTTGCAAGAAGTTCTCCAGACCATTTTTATTATGTTTTTAAAACGAGGCAGAATCCTTGTAATTTGGTTGCAGAATGGATGATGGAACATAGGTGTTTCTCTAGGCACAGCACCCACTGATTGCTCCTTCACCCAGTCTCCCCCAGAACACTCCTCACGATGAGTAGAGGGGTCTCCGGTGTCTTTCTGGTTCTGTTTTCTTCCTTTTCTCCTCCATGCTATCTTTTAGGGTAGGGAAACCTACTCATTTCCTCCAGAGAGCCTCTCTCAGGGAGATGAGTGCATTTCAGTTTTCTAACCTTACAGGTTGGACAGGTAGGCAGGTAAAGGGAACACTGAATGAAGTGTTGGGAAATCTGAGCTTTGGGTTTGGATCTGTAACCCGCTGTGACAGCAGGCAAGTCGCTTAACTCATTGCCTTTTCATCTGTGAAGACGTGGCTTAATTATTTCCATATTCACAGGGCTATTTTAATGGGCAACTGAAAAAAGGCACAGAACTTTGCAATATTATTGAATTTCTCTGGAAATTCAAGATAGTGGTATTTTCTTACAGTTGCCCTTCCCCTCACCATAAAAGGCAGCTGTGCAGACAGATGGGCCAGTTAGTGAAGTTCTGTCTTTTTTGTGTCTGTCTGCTGCTTTGGCAAGGATATTACAACATGAAGCATGCTGAGGGTATGTTGTGTTACACTGTGGGTTATGCCTTTGTCTCATAATCTTGAAACAGAATCTGGTTGGCACTGTTCATTTATGGCTTTTTTTTTTTTAGGTAAACACAGCAGTCCAGTTAATCTTGGTGGCAGCTTCTTTGGCAGCTCCGGTTTTTAATTATGCTGACAGCATTTATCTTCAGATACTGTGGTAAGCTAAATTTAGAATCACTTTCTGAGAATGTCAACAGAATGGCTTATTGTGACAATTCTAGAATTACTTTGTTCTTTCGTGTTTATTGAGCACTGGCGGTGTAAAGCTGAGGGCTATATTTTATGGTTGATACCATTCTTTTTTTTTTTTTTTTTTTTTTTAAAGATTTTATTTTTTCCTTTTTCTCCCCAAAGCCCCCCGGTACATAGTTGTGTATTCTTCGTTGTGGGCTCCTCTAGTTGTGGCATGTGGGACGCTGCCTCAGCGTGGTCTGACGAGCAGTGCCATGTCCGCGCCCAGGATTCGAACCGACGAAACACTGGGCCGCCTGCAGCGGAGCGCGCGAACTTAACCACTCGGCCACGGGGCCAGCCCCTGGTTGATACCATTCTTAAGAAGCTTACTATCAAGTATGGAATGTGGAAGTTATATTACAGGAGCTTTCCTGCAAGTTAAAAGAGCTGAGAGGTACAGATAATGCGTTGGGGTTTCAGAGGAGGGAAAGATAGTTCCAGGTAGGAAGAAGAGGGAAGGCTTCAGGGAGGAAGTGGCATTTGAGCCATGAGGTCTAGGTGGATTTTATACAGGGAGAGATTGACGGGAGACCGTTCAGCTGAAGGACAGACCCTGAGTGAAGTCAGAGGGGTGAGAGTGGATAAGGAAAGCTGCATCCGGCCTAGAGAAAGGGGCATAGTGGGAGAGAAACTTGGAGAAAGGAGTTTGAATTTTATCTTATTATGCTTACTTATAGCCTTGAAAATGTGTCCAGTTCAAACTTTGAGTCCAAATGTGCCACACTGATTTTGAAGCACTGTATTGTGTAGTACACTTTTCACTCTATAATTAAAACCTTCTTGTTTGATGTAGTCTGAGCTAGAAAATGGTTGATTAACCAAAGTCAGTTAAGCTAAAGAAGCTTTAAAAATGATACACATGCTAAACATTTCATTTTCTAAATTATATAAACGTAGGACCAAGGATTTTTCTTTTTTTTAAAAGACTTTTTTTTAAAATATTTTATTTTTCCTTTTTCTTCCCAAAGCTCCCCAGTACATAATTGTGTAGTTTTAGTTATGGGTCCTTCTAGTTGTGGCACATGAGACGCCGCCTCAGCATGACCTGATGAGCAGTTCCATGTCTATGCCCAGGATTCGAACTGCCAAAACCCTGGGCCGCCAAAGCAGAGCACGTGAACTTAACCACTCGGCCACAGGGCTGGTCCCCAATGATTTTTCTTTGAGTATAGTACCATCAGTGGGAGTTTTTTCTTTCTTAGATAAACTACATCCTGTCCGTAATACAACCTCTCTGATTTTCATTTTATGCTTCTTTAAAGTGATATAAGAATTTAAGAGATTTACAAAGCAATCTGAGTACAGAAACTTTATAGATTTTTACCCTTTTCTCTAGTATTTAACAATCATTTTGCCTACTTACTTTGGCACTATTTTTTAGCAACTCACTTGTTGTCAAGTCTTTCCAAAGTATCCAGCTTAGTTCTCAGAAATAGCAACTCTTTCTACACGTGTGTTTCATTGGTTTATATGTGGATTTAGAATATGAAACGGGCATACACAGGTTTGGGATCACAAAAACAGAGTCTTGGTGATCCTACACCTCACCTGGTGGAAGCAGATGGGCATGGGTGCCTAAAAAGATACCTGTTTGCTGCGAGCATTCGGCAAGCCATGAGCATCACTTGTGTAATTTGAAAGAGTTAATTCTGGTTAATCTGGCAGTTCACTTAAGGAAAAATCAGTAAAGCAAGCTGAAATTTATTTAAAATGACTCAGATATTAGAATTCTCAAAATCTGCAGGAAATCTTCTAATCCTTTAAGCAGCATGGAGCAGTGGAGAGAGCACGTGGGCTCTAGAGTTCAAACCGGGCCAGGCTCCAACACAGTTCTGTGCCCTGAGCCAGTCCTCTGGGGCTCTGGTTCCTCCTCTGCAAGATGAGGTTGTTGTGAAAATACAGGGAGAACATTAGACACCTAGAGTGATGTCTGGGTACAAATGACAGTTGCTGCTATTATTATTTTTTCAGGCTCATTAACTAGATTAATTTTGTTTGACATTACTAATTTAGATGGTCTTCAAGAAAAGCAGTGTCTTTAGATTCTTGTGGTTAAAATTTACACCTCATAGCCTTTTTTACTTTTTAAATAACTCTCCTGTTTTTTAGACTAAATTTTCTTTCTTTGCTTCCATAAAAGGTGTTTTACAGCTTTTACCACAGCTGCATCAGCTTACAGTTATTATCATTATGGTCGGAAAACTGTTCAGGTGATAAAAGGCAAATGAAAGTCATCCATCATTGTTAGCAAGGAAGCAATACACGTCATCGGCAGCAGGGCCAGTGGAAATCTACAGGAGTTTCCCCATTTTCGTGTTCAGCTTGAAAAAGGACTTGTCAGAACAAACCATGTCATCTAAATTTAAGTAATATGCATTGAAAATAAGCTTGATCATGGGCAAATGCAGACTTTCCAATGTATTTTTAAATACAAATAAAACTATAATTTAGAATTTTTTTATCTTAGGTTTCTTAATTTATAAGGTACCAATTATTCCAAGTATTGTCTGTCATTTTTTAATGTTTTTTAAAAAAATAGTCCAGCGCACGGAAACTGAAGAGTTGCTACTTCTCTTTGATAGAAATTAGATTGCTCACAAAGCACTAGGGAATTTCCTGAGTTTAAATATTTATCCTATACAACTTGGCTTCACAATTTTGTTTGATTTTAGATCTGCATACACATTAAGAGTTCATGTGGTTAATATTTGATCATTTAGGGTAATGACAATAAAGATGGCTTAGTTGTGGATGAAGTAAAAACTTGTAAAGAGATTTAAAATACAGTAAGTTTTAGAAATAATAAATAAGATCAAAATGGAAGGTACTGAAGTTCGTGTTCAGTAGGCTTCCAACCTCTCAGCTGCCTAACAGTTTACGTATCAGGATAACAAGTAGCAAAGGTAGGTGGAACATGAAAACATGTCCGTTAGCCAATGCCATCCAAGAGACAGTGAGTCATCTCATGCCTTCCCACTGTATTTCTAACATAGCAATGTTTGTATGATGTTGGATGTTATGTAAATAATATGGAACTGTATATTTTTCAAAGGTTTTTTTAAACTTTGGGACATCTTCTTTTGTTAAGGTGTTAAAGGAATAAAAGAGCTGGAAAAAAAAAACGTACCTTCAACTTGGGTTGTCTGTATAGCATACCGTGGCCTTCTGCTGTTGTGTAAATTTTCTGATTCATAAAGTCCATTCAGATACATCACTTGCACTTACATTGTAAAAATAATTGGTTTGGGACCATCTGACCTTAAAAGCCCTTATTCTCACTAAATCATCATGTTTAGGAGAGTGGAGGATGCAGGGAGAGGGAAGAGGAAGACAAGGGCCTGTGCTGGTTGCTTCCTCTTAACAGTGAAGGCCTGGTGCCGCCCACTGTCCTAGGTTTCATCCTAAGTGTAATATGGAATCACGCAGTGAGATAATCCAAACATAGCCTGTTGAGCTGTGTTAAATTAAAATGGGAAGTTATAAGCAAAATTTATGCCTCTTGGCAGTGGCATCTTTGGGTCAGTGTGCCCCTTTGTTGCCTGCTAGTCCTGGCTCCCTTGTTGCCAGACTAGCTTGAGCTGCCCTTGGCTTAGAACGTACTGAAGCCTGCAGCCGGGGACACTGCCACTGAATTGGATGGAGCGTGGTATGAGCAAAGAGGAGGGTGGCGTAGGGTAGCCATTCTCCCTTCTAGAACCTCTTGTATGATCTCAGCCTGGGAGGTGGTGAGGCTGGAGGTGGAAGTCCCACTAGACCACTCAAAAGGACCACTCAAAGGCATATTGAACATGTCTCAGCAGTAAAGTATGAGCACACAAAAATTATGTTTAAGAAAGGGAGAACTTGAAATAGTTATGGGAAAAAATAGAATTTTGCATTTCCTTGTGCTTATTTGTGGTTCAGTGTTGATGCTGTTTGGAGTGACATGAGTTGGACTCATAATCTCTTTAGTATTAAGATCTTTTTTTGAGGAAGATTAGCCCTGAGCTAACATCTGCCGCCAATCCTCCTCTTTTTTTTGCTGAGGAAGGCTGGCCCTGAGCTAACATCTGTGCCCATCTTCCTCCACTTTATACATGGGATGCTTACCACAGCATGGCTTGCCAAGCAGTGCCATGTCCACACCCAGGATCCGAAGTGGCAAACCCTGGGCTGCCAAGAAGCGGAACATGCGAACTTAACCGCTGCGCCACCTGGCCGGCCCTCGTATTAAGATCTTAATCTGGCTCTGGTTAATATATTTTTTTCCACCTCAACTCTTAGAAAAGTGGTCCGAGTCTCCTCAGGGTTTTGGGCATTGTGCTGTTGTAAAACATGTAAATTCTGCTAGTTTACAAAACATTGGAATCGTATTAGGCATGTTTGAGTGGATATTCATGCATACCGACTCAAAGCATGACAAATACATTTTGGTGCCTCCACATAACAGACTCAATCTTGATAGCAGGCTAAAAAGAGCATGGGATATTTTAATTACATGTCTGAGGACTTTATGCTTTAATTAGTTAAATTTTTGGCATTTGCTTTGCAATTTTTAATCAGGAACTGGTAGCTTTTAAATCACTTAGTCCAATTCTCTTGGTTACATATGTGATGAAACTAGGGCTCTACCTTAGGCTTTTGAGAGGCTGTTTCAAAAGTTCAAACCCCTAGAGATATATAATACGGTTCTGTTATTCAGGTCAAACTTGGATATATGCTGAGTTTCTGCAGCAGGGTTTCTGTGCTGCAGCACATTTTGAAAACAAAAGATACATGGGAATCAAACTTGATTTTTTTTTCTTACAGTAGAAATAAATGCTGTCATGGGTTGAATTGTGTCTCAAAAAGATGGGTTCAAGTTCTAACCCCCAGTAGCTGTGAACGTGACCTTATTTGGAAATAGGGTCTTTGCAGATGTAATCAAGTTAGGATGAGGTCATACTGGATTTGATGGGCCTCAATCCAATGCCTAGTGTCCTTATAAGAAGAGGAAAATTTGACTTCTGGGTATATATCTGAAGGAAATGAAATCACTCTCGAAGAAATATCTGCACTCCCATGTTCACTGCAGCATTATTTATAATAGCCAAGACATGGCAACAACCCAACTGTCGATGTATGAACGGATAAAGAAAATGTGAGATTTTATATGTGTAATGGAACATTATTCAGCCATAAAAAAAGAAAATCCTGCTATTTGTGACAACATGGATGGACCTTGAGGGCATTACACTTAGTGAAATAAGTCAGACAGAAAAAGACAAATTCTGTATGATCTCACTTATGTGGAATCTAAGAAAAACAAGTCATAAAAACAGAGTAGATTGGTTCCCGGGGGTGGGGGTGGGGGGTGATGGGTGAAGGTGGTCAAAAGTACAAACTTCCAGTTCTAATGATCCCCAGAAACCAGCATGCTGAACTATAGTTAACAATACTGTGTGGGATACTTGAAAGTGGCTAAGAGAGTAGATCTTAAAAAGTTTTCACCACACACAAAAAGTAATCATGTGAGGTGATGGATGTGTTCACTAACCTTATGGTAATCATTTCGCAATATATACATGTATCAAATCATCTCGTACAGCTTAAACTTGTACAATGTTACATGTTAATTATGTCTCAAATCTGGGGGAAAACAATTTTTAAAAATGGGAAATTTGGGCACAGAGACGCAAACAGAGAATGCCATGAGACAACAGAGGCATAGACTGGAGTGATGTATCTGCAAGTCAAGGAACCCCAAGGACTGCCAGCCTCCACCAGAAGCTCGGAGAGGGGCCTGGGAAACTCTCCCTCAGAGTCTCCAGAAGGAACCAACCCTGCTGACACTTGACTGGGGGTTTCTGGTCTGAACTGTAAGAGAATAAATTTCTGCTGTTGTAAGCCATCCAGTTTGTGGTAATTTGGTACAGTAGCCACAGGAAACTCACATAAAGGCTAATGTGGAAAATTGAAATCTAGAAATATGACTGCCATTATAATTTCATAAAATCACTTTTTCCCCTAAGTTGGTATAAACGTGAAAAAGGATGTGGTAAGACATCCCCCACACAGATACAGATCAGAAAGGCATTGTCTGATGCCATTGGGAGCAGAGGAATGCTGTGGCCTGTGACTAGAGTCTTGAGGTTCTCTTTTGCTCATTCTTTCTAAGAAAAAACTTCCTGAAGCTCATGGTTCCTTTGTCCACTTAGTGTTGGATGAAATGCAGTAAACACTGACTTTAAACAGGACAGCTTTTTCCTGTGTTTCACAAATGTTCAAAGACTGGTTTTAAGTATAAAGCTAGAAGCACATTTTATGCCATACCCTGAAATGCAACTAATAAACCCGGACGGCCTCAGGCAACATAACCAGCAGTTCTCCCTCAACCCCAGTTTGCAGACTGACACCACCAGAGTTGATTCCTTGAGTAACACGTGCCTTGGCCAGACCTTGACCATGAGGGGACTTCCTCAAATGACTTGAGGCCGTCGCTTCCAATATGGCAAAAGATTTGTTTTATCCCTTCCTACTTCCACACACAATTCTATTCTGGCCGCTGAGGGGCACTGATTGCTGAAAACCCAAATAAAACAGCACACAAGAATGCCAGGTGGCAGTGGGAGTGGTCTGGTGTGGACCAACCATCAGTTTCTGGAAACAGACTGAAGTAGAAGGAAGGCAAGGCATTGTTCCTTGGGCTGAGAAACAGCGTGGCAAGTTTCGTGTGTGCCCAACGAGTGCTGGCTTCAAGGGAACTGGAGGCGTTGAGAGCTGACGGGGCCGTTGGGACCCTCTGTATCTTCCTCTCTGCACGGAGGCCGCCGCTTCTCAGCTCAAGTTCGATTGCAGGAAGGTTTGGAGCTTCAGCGGGTAGTCAAAGGCTGGGTTTTGGTAGGCCACCAGGTGCGTGTCGTAGCGCTGCCGGCGTGGCGTCCGGCCCCGCCTGCAGAGACATGCGGCCAGCAGCAGGGTGCTGAGGAGCAGCAGGCCACCAGCGGCGCACAGCCCCGCGAAGAGCAGCACGAAGCTGGGCTTGGTGGTGAAGGCGGCGCACGGCCCCCTCCAGCCCGAGGCCCGCGGGAGGCTCAGGCCCGCCCTGTTGGCCGCCAGGACGCACACGCGGTACGTGGTGCCCGGCGAGAGTCCGTACAGAGGGTGCTGCCGGGCCGTGACATAGATGTCCCCCACCACCGACTGGTTCCCCGACGAGCCCTCGGGAGAATAGTGGATCTGGTACCAGCGCACCACCGAGTTGGGAGCGCACCAGCGGACGAGAGCGGACGTGTCGGTGGTCTCCGACACCGCCTGCAGCCTGGGAGGGTCCGGGATGGTGTCTTCCCCGCTGAGCCCGGGGCACCGGCACCGCGAGCGCCTCTGCAGCTCTGCGCACGGGGTCTGCAGGTGCTTGCAGGGCTGGTAATCACAGGGGACATCCTGGGGAGGCGCCCTGACCTCCTCCTTCTCCCTCTCCTCCTCACTGGAGTCATCCAACAGCAAGACTGGAATGCTGTCGTCGGAAGGACTGGCGTGGGGAGCCTGCAGGGTGGCCTGTGTCCTCCGGTCCGTCTGGGGTGTGCTCAATGAGTTCCCGGAGGTGGGGAAGAGACCGAAGCGTTTGCTAGCTGATGCGGTGGAGGCAGCTGAGATACTGGGCTCAGGGACAAGCCAGGCAGCATGTTCTTGGTGCTCTGTCCCAGCTGTGCTTGGGGCCCTGGGGGGAACTCTGGAGTTGCTGAAACCTACTGTAGAGAGGGCAGTGGAGGAGGTGGTCCCCTCCCTGACACTGCTGTGCAGCCATGCAGCTCCAGTGGGGGAATCCACAGGGAGAGAGGGGGGCTTGGTGACACTCTGTTGGCCTCCTGCAGGTTGAGTGGAGGGGGTTGTGCTCCTTGGGGTGGAGGGACCCTGTGTAGCTGGTGCGTGGGTGGAGAGGACAGAGGAGGGTCGGTTGGAATCAAGGAGCGTGGTGCTTTGGTCTGAATGGCACACACTGGGCAGCTGGGAGAGCAAAAGAGGGGCTGAGAAGATGCCGCCGGATCCTGCAGCTGGTGTGCACACCGTGTCTGCTGCCCTAGAGGGAGGCCAACTGGTTAGAAGGTATTTGGCTCAGAGTTGCTTCTGTGCTGGGCTTTGAGTCCTCAGTGCAGACAGCCCTTCTTGCCAAGACTTGTCGACATGTCTGCCAGGTACACATGGTACACACTCTACAAGCACTGTGAAGGGCAGTCCTGATTGTCTAAGCGTAGTCTGCCATTTTATTCTCACTTGTCTGCTTCCTGAACGTGAGTACTAGTAACAGCACTCATCCTAGCTAACATTTACTGAGTGCTTGCCACATGCTAGGGACAGTTGTTAGCACTTTACTGTATCAACTAATTTAATCTTCACTACCTTATGAGGTAGGCACTATTATCCACCCCCAATTTACAGATGAGAAGGTAGAGGCACAGAGAGGTTAAATAACACTGCCAAAATCAACAGTAGCAAGTGGTGTGAAGAGCCTGCCCTGGGGCTGGCCCCATGGCCGAGTGGTTAAGTTTGCACACTCTGCCCCAGCGGCCCAGGGTTTCGCCGGTTCGGATCCTGGGCACGGACAGGGCACTGCTCATCAAGCCACATTGAGGCGGCATCCCACATGCCACAACTAGAAGGACCCACAACTAAAAATACACAACTATGTATCGGGGGGCTTTGGGGAGAAACAGGAAAAATAAAATCTTTAAAAAAAAAAAAAAGAGGCTGCCCTCTCGACCTCTGTATTAATACCAGAGTGAGACCCTTCACTGCAGAGGGTCTGGGTGCTTGCCTTTGGAGGCATCATGAAGGGAGAAGGGGGCAGACTGAGCCCCCCTTCACAGCCAGGCTTGAGTGGGAGGTGAGAAAAGAACCCCCACAGGTTGGGGCCTGTCTCCCTAAGTGTGCTGCAAGGAGGCCAGGTTAGCTGGTGGAGCTGGTTTGAGGGTTTTCAAGACCCAAGGTGTCTCCAGGCCTCATCCTCTCCTGATGGCCAGCCTGGGCGTGGCTCCCCACTGCAAAAACAGCTCTTGCAGCCAACAGCCAATGGGAAGTCTTCATAGGACTTCTCCTGTCCCACAAGAGTTCTGCAAGCCCACTGGTCTTGGACTGAATGACCCAGGAGGCCAGGCTCCGTCATGGGGACTCCCTGGGGCCCAGTGGTTAATTAAGAGCATAGTTTCGGAGAAAGAGAGATCCTGCTTCCTCCACCCAGAGGCTCCTGATTCTAAGCAAGTACCTCTCCTCTTTGGGCCCCAATCTGCTCATCTGTCAAATGGAGCAATGATAACACCGCTTTGGCAGAGACAAGCTAGCTGTTCACTTAAATCATTTCCTTTTCCTACTGGGCACACAGCTAGACTACATTTCCCAGCTTCCCTTGCAGGTAGGCATGGCCTCCTAACTGATGTCTGGCCAATGAAATGTGAGTGGAAGTGATGAGCATTTCCTCCTGCCTGGCCCATTAAGACCACCCATGTCTGCTCCTCCATGCTCTCTGCCCCTCTGGCTGGTTGACATGGAGGCAGAGCCTCCTTCGCCGGGGTCCCCGAGTGTGACTACAAGGAGGAGGAGCCACCCGACTCAACACTGCCAACCTGCCCAGCATGGTTACATGGGCAAGAGAGAAGCTGCGAGAACTTCAGCTCACCCCTCAATCATCTGTTTTGTGAATGTGTTACCTGCTTAAGACAGTCCTCTTTGCATCCATGAGGAGCCAGGACAACTCACAGCTGCAAGTCAGGGGGTTGCCAAAGAGGCTGATGGAGAGGACCTGGGAGGAATGCAGGTTCCAAGGAGGGAAGGAACTCAAGTTGCAGCTGAAATACACAAAAATCAATTAAGTCAGGCTTTTACAATCAGGTCAAAACTCTTCCCAGAGAGTCATGGTGGTGTCATGGGAAAACCATGCCATTGGGGGTTTGATGATATTACTTTGGGCAAACCCTTCATGACCTTGGACTTCATTTTTTTCATCTGTAAAGTGGAGATACCAACCCAAGCCAGTCAATATCATCCCTTGTATCAAATGGGGACAATACTCCCCTGCCTGCTGGTTGTATCAAAAAGAGTCTGTGACGATGAGAGTGTTTATAAATGTAAATCTCTAGACAAAGTGAGATATTATTACACACCAGTCACAAGAAATGGGAGAAATTCTTAATTAATGAGAACACTCTTCAATATACACTATTGCAGTTGAAGGGTAGCTGATGGCACTCAACACCAGTCCTTTGGAAGCTGCCTCACTGAAGTGTATTAGTTAGCTCTTGCTAAGTTTCCCCAAAAGTTAATAGTTTAAAACAACGAATATTTGTTCTTTCTCATGATTCTGTGGATTGGCCCAGTGGTTGTGGGGCCAGCTCAGCTGGGGCCAGATCTAGAATGGCCTCATCTATCTGGAACCTCAACTGTGTTTCCTGGGCCCTCTCTCCATGTGTCTCTGATCACCCAGGAGGCTACCCCAGGCTTGTACACCAGCAAAGGAGGGAAAATTCCGATCCTCAACTGCTTTCAAGTCTCTGCTTATATCACATTTGCTAATGTCCTACTGGCCGAAGCAAGTCACATGGCCAAGCCCAGCTTCAAGGGGTAGAGAATAGACTCCAACTCTTGATGGGAGGAGGTGCAAAGTCACATTGCAAGGGGGTGTGTCTACAGGGATGTGAGGAATTACTGGGGCCATTTTGTGCAGACAGTCTACCACCCCTAGCGATGGCAGGTCCTCTCTTGACTCTCTGCTCTTTCTTCCCTAGAGTGTCACAGAGCATTTGGCCTCGATTCCCTGAGTCTCCCGGCCTCTTTTACACATACTCAGTTAGAATTCAACATGAGCAACAGGAGCTGCTCTTCACCTGCAGGTCTCTCCCGTCCAAAGGCTGGCTTTCCTCCACCTGCCTGGGAACCATCTGCCTTCTCCTACTGTTCTGGGGGAGATGCTCACATGATGGGTGAGGAAGGACCCACCACCCAGATCTGCTCCACCCTTCCTGGCTGGTGGAGACCTGACATTTGTCCCCTCTGGAACACCAGATATATGTGTGTGCCATCTATATTGAAATTTAAGCCATGCCCACATATATGAGTATATATGTGTGCATGTTTGTTTTTAGCAAAGTTCACAGAGCTAGAGTGGAAATCTTAGAATGGGAGTTTACTTACCACATCATGGTGCAAAGGAAATATTTTTCTCATTGCCTGAAAAGAACTCCCATATTTTTGAGCAGGTAACATTGCTGAGCACTTTACATATATTATCTCATTGATATCATTATGACAACTCATATAATATTTTGAGGTAGGTAATATTTTACTCATTCTTCCAGGTAAGGAAAATGAATCCTTTCCTTATCTGGCAACCCTTTCTGCCACCAATGCAACCTTCACGTGATAAAGACAAGCTGTGTTACCATCCACGTGCTGGGGAACAGAGAGGCTGGCTCACATCCTCCTGTGGGTCCACATTTAGGTGTTCTCTGCGTCTGAACTGACAGAGCCCTAGCATGGAAGAAGTTTCCATTTGCTCTCCTCAATACACTCTTTTCTCTTCTTTGTTGGAGTGCAGTCGGAGGGGACTGTGGAGGCGTTTGGCCATGCTGGGTTGGCAGAGCCGTCAGGAAGGCTCCCACCCCTTCTCCTGTGGGTGCTGGCTATGCCAGGGCACCCGAATGTCACCCAGTGTTTATCACAGATAGCCTCCCAGGGGAGGTTGTGGGGGAGCTAAGGAGAGCAAGGGACAGGTTAGGCTGAGGAGGGGGAAAAAGGGTCTAGCAGGGCAGGTGGCATTTAATGAGCTTTGGAGGTCTGAGAGCACCAAGAAAGCAAGTGGCTCCTACTCCGCAGCGGGAGCACGGGTGGGGCGGCGGGGGCCTGGATGAGCCAGCTAAGGAACTAACCCTTCCCCATCAGGCCATGGAAGGCACCAAAAGGTTTTCATTTCGCAGGAGACTCAGACCGCAATTTAGACAGATCTCTTGGCTGAATGTCGTGACTGGATTACCAGGATTCTTAACCTGGCATCCGTGAAGACAGGGCCCGTGAAACTGGATGGAGGGTATTACTTCTTTACTTTCACAAACTTGTAACTGAAATTTACTATTGGCTTCAATAATGAATGAAAGCAACAAACCACAGGTGAATCACCAATAGGAATCACAGATATTTCCATATCACTTTTCAGTAATTTCCTGTCATTTATAATTACTAAAATTATGGAAGTTATTGGTCCTGCTACTGGGTTTTGTTATGTAAGGTGTTAAATAAAGAAGGACAGTACACAGATATACATTCCTAAAACACATATTTAAAAATATGTTGATAACTATAATTGGATTCTTTGTAATCCTATGTACTTTATTTTATGCATATAAGAATATTCTTCTGAATGGACAGCTAATCTTCGACAAAGAAGCAGAGGGCCTACAATGGAGAAAAGAAAGTCTCTTCAACAAATGGTGCTGGGAAAACTGGACAGCCACAGGCAAAAGATTGAAAATTGACCATTCTTTTTCACCACACACCAAAATAAACTCAAAATGGATCAAAGACCTAAAGATTAGGCCTGAAACAATAAGTCTTCTGGAAGAGAATATAGGCAGTACACTCTTTGACATCAGTTTCAAAAGAATCTTTTCGGACACTATAACTCCTCAGTTGAGGGAAACAATAGAAAGAATAAACAAATGGGACTTCATCAGACTAAAGAGCTTCTTTAAGGCAAGGGAAAACAGGATTGAAACAAGAAAACAGCTCACTAATTGGGAAAAAATATTTACAAGCCACTTATCCGACAAAGGGTTAATCTCCATAATATACAAAGAACTCACACGGCTTAACAACAAAAAAACAAACAACCCAATCAAAAAATGGGCAGAGGACATGAACAGACATTTCTCAAAAGAAGATATGAATATGGCCAATAGACACATGAAAAGATGTCCATCATCGCTAATCATCAGGGAAATGCAAATCAAAACTACACTAAGATATCACCTTACACCCGTTAGACTGGCAAAAACATCCAAAACCAAGAGCAACAAATGTTGGAGAGGTTGTGGAGAAAAAGGAACCCTCATACACTGTTGATGGGAATGCAAACTGGTACAGCCACTATGGAAAACAGTATGGAGATTTCTCAAAAAGCTAAAAATAGAAATACCCTGTGACCCAGCCATCCCATTACTGGGTATCTATCCTAAGAACCTGAAATCAGAAATCCCAAGAGTCCCTTGCACCCCTATGTTCATCACAGCATTATTTACAATAGCCAAGACGTGGAACCAACCTACATGCCCAGAAACTGATGATTGGATAAAGAAGATATGGTATATATACACAATGGAATACTACTCAGCCATAAAAAAAGACAAAATTGGCCCATTCACAGCAACGTGGATGGACCTCGAGGGTATTATGTTAAGCGAAATAAGCCAGTCAGACAAAGACGATCTCTATATGACTCCACTCATAGGTGGAAGTTAATATATTGACAAGGAGATCTGATCGGTGGTTACCAGGGAAAAGGGGGGGTGGGGGGAGGGCACAAAGGGGGAAGTGGTGTACCCACAACATGACTAACAAAAATGTACAACTGAAATCTCACAAGGTTGTAATCTATCATAACATTAATAAAAAAAAAAAAAGAATATTCTTCTGAGAAACATCTGTAAGCTTCATCAGACTGCCACAGAAGTCCACGGCACAGAAGAGTTTAAGACCCCCTGTACTAAAGGGTGGGCCCCTGAAGGCAGAGTCGCTGGTTAGAAGGCCCTTGGTAAGTGGGGTAGGAGATGACGAGAACTTGACCTAAAGCTGCCCTGAAGGGTGGATAGGAAAGGGCTGGCATAGGAGCTGTTGAGGATGAAGACCAGGCAGGACCTGGTGACTGGGGAGCCAAACTTAAGAGTCATCTACACCTGCAGCGACTCTTCAATCTGCTCCCATCTGACTCCATTGAGAATGAATGTCACCGACCCCACATTATGCTAAATCTTATGGTTACTCCTCTGTCCTCAGCTGACTGGCCCTCCCAATGGCATTCAGTTCTGCCAACCACTCCCTCCTTCCTGAAACACTTTCTTCTCTTGGCCTCCAGGGCATCTCATCCTCCTGGGTTTTCTCCTATCTCACCCGTCGTACCTTGTTCCTCTCTTTTCCTGGTTCTTCCTCTTCCTGATTTTAAAGGCTGGGGTTCTTTAAGGCTCATTCCTGGGCCCTCTTTTCTCTAAATCCTTCCCTGGTGATCTCATTAACTTGTATGACTTCAAATTTCATATTTCTACTTCCAAATTTATATCTCTGGCTCAGACTCCTCATTAGAGCTTAGACTGATGCAGTATTGTTTAAGGTTATCAGATGTGGAACCAAACTACCTGGGCTCAAGTCTTGATTCCACCACTTTATATTTATGTGAGTTGGGGCAAGTTACTTAATGCCTCTGTGACTCAGTTTCCTCATCTGTGAAATGGGGGTAATGACCAAATCCTCCCCCACCAGGTTCGTATTATTGTTATTACTGGGCATTTGCACTAGATGTCTCACAGGCCTTTCAGCATCCAGCAGACAGTTAGATACATGAGCCTGGAGCTCATCGGAAGGCCTGGGCTGGAGATACCTGACTGAGCATCTTCAGTGCAGAAATGGTGGAGGAAGCGTCAGACATGGCTGTGAGGACAGTGCTGGAGTAAGCAGTTAGGGTGAGAAATGACATGCAAAAAAGTTAGAAGTGGAAATAGTCAAGGACCTTAAGAAGGCCTATCCAGGAAGGCTGGAGAAGCCCCATGGCAGCAACCTGAGGCCAGGGGACAGAGAGGGTGAATAACGAGGGAAGAATCAACAGGGGGCTCAATGGACAGAGAAGCATCCACTGGACTTAGCAGCTGAAGTGCCACTGGTTCCATTCGATCATGGAGCTGAAGCAGGTGGTCAGATTGCAGTGAACAAGAAGTGCAGGGGTGAGAGGAAGTGGTCACCACTATGAGCCAGGGATGTCTGCTTTTCTCAGGGTCTGGGTTGCCTTTCTCTGCTGGCATTCACCTGGTGAGTCTGAAGATATGGATCAACTATATTCTTCTTCCAGTCTGATCATTAACCCCACGTGTCTTATAACACAGTACGTGGTGTGTGCCTCTGTCACTGATCACAATGTATTGTGATGACTGGTGGATGTCTGCTGCCTACACTGAACTGTGAGCTCCCTGAAAGCAGGGGCCATGCTGTTATCACCACCACTGCCATCATCACCATCAACATCATTGTTGTTACTAGTATCTCTACCACTATCCCCATCAGCATCATCACTGTCATCACCTGATGCTTCCTCCACCATCTCTGTGCTGAGGATGCTAAGTTAGGTATCCCCAGCCCAGGCCTTCCGATGAGCTCCAGGCTCAGGTATCTATCTGTCTGCTGGATGCTGAGAGACCTATGATACATCTAGTGCAAATGCCCAGTAATAACAATAATACGAACCTCTTGTTTTGTGCCAGGCATTGTTCTAGGCACATATCCAAGCATTTCCTCTCACAACAATCCAGTGGGGGATGATTTGGTCATTATCTCCATTTCACAGATGAGGAGACTGAGTCACAGAGGTGTCAAGTAACTTACCCCAACTCACACAGCTAGTAAGTGGTGGAGTCAGGACTTGAGCCCAGGCAGTTTGGCTCCACATCGGATAGCTTATACACAACGCTGCATCAGTCTGAAGCTCCAAGGAGGAGTCTGAGCCGGAGATGATATCACTCTCATCAACATCATCACCATCACCATCATCATCACCATCACCTCATCACAACCACCATTATCTTCACTAATGTTACAGAACACACATCACGTGCCAGGCACCACGTGCCACAGCTATGTGCTCTGCATGTTCTGTCTTCTTTTTCTTCATGACAAGTCCCAAAGTGAAGTCCTCTGGTTGTGTGGAGCCAGCAGATCAAAGAGAGAAGTGGCTACGTTGACAGTGATGGTGGGGCAAAGGTGCCTGCTTCCCAGGGCCCAGAGGTGGGCCCCCAGGAAAGGAGGTGTCCTGGGATCATCTTCAAAGGGACATTGCCTTTCCAGTTGAAGTCAGGATAGTGGTCGCTCTTGGGAAGGAGAGGGGGTGTAGTGACACTCTGGACATTCACTGGGCCAGAAGGCACCAACCCCGGATCCCAACTGCAAGCAGGACCCTTATACCCATCCACCTTTCCTCCTAGAGCCGCTCAAACCCTGGAAGGGACCGACTCGCATAAACACCTGGGGAAGCAGGTGAATCCAGAAATCGAGAAGAACCTGATGCCTCATCCCCTCTTTCCACTGCAGGTTTCCCAGCTTGGACTTAAAGGAAACTTCACATGCATGAGAGTTTGGAATTTTAATATTACTCCAGACTGGACTGAACTGCATGGTTTTAGGCTTGGTGGACTATCTGGGACCTGCCTAAGATATTACCCAAAGGATGAAGAAGCATAAAACCCCAGAAAGGATTTGAAGGAGCAGTAGGAGGAGAATTAAGGTCTGGTTTGTTCTACAAAATGGTTATACCCACTCAACAAACAGTGTAACGGGCGAAAGTCAGCCATGTGATTCAGAAACACTTACTTCTGGAGTAGAAGGACCTGTAGGTGAGGAGTATCTTGAAAGATGTGTGTATGGACAGAGGTAAGAGCTGGGGAATCTTGACAATCCAGCTGCTGCAGGTCCGGGGTCATCTTGAAAATGTCTCCCTCCAGGCTCGTCAGCTGGGGCATCTTCCTCAGGTAAAGTGACGTGAGCTTCGGCAGGTCTCGGATCCACCCTGAGTGCACTGAAACACAGAGGGGAAACTGCCCACTACCCAGGAAGGCACAAACCCAGCAGGCTGGCACGGCATTGAGGAAACAAAGAGAGTGACCAGGTGAGTCGTGAAGGTCATTGCTGAGCTTGGGCACAGTTGGCAGCTTTGGGAATCTCAGAAGCATGGGCCATTTCCGCCAGAAGGGCCCTCGGGGATGACCAGTCCTTCCTTCCTTCCTTCTAGCTGGAGATGGCTGAGGCCAGAGAGGAGAATGATTGGCCATTGGCCTAAGGCCACACAGCTGGGAAAGGTCAGAGACAGGACTTGAACGCAGGACTGTCTCCAGGTCTCCTGCTGCCCCAATCTCTTGTTTAGCTTCACACAGAAATGCCCTAGACTTCAGTCAGAGGGCTACCGGGAGTGGGGAAATTTTTGAGAAAGGTCAGTAAGGAGAAGAGGAGCAGGGCTGGAGAAGGCCCAGAAACTTAGTTCTGTGGCTCTCCTGATAAATGGAGGACATGCCCCTTGCCCTCTGTTTCCTCTTCTGGCTCTACATTCTCTTTGTGGTGGAACAGGTGATTCCAGACACGCGAAGTGTTTTTGAAAAATAATAAAACCAGCCTTGTGAATCAGAGTCAGAACACGCCAAGCACAGGAAGACTGGTATTCTCACCTCCCTCCTGTGTCTTGAACGATTCAACATTCACAGAAACAATTTTAGCCAACCGAGTAGAAAAATCACTGAATTCCTCCTCAGATGAGGCCCTCGCATCAATTGCTTCATGTTAACTGCATGTTTACTGCTAAATTCATCCATTAACTAGCCCCAGAGCGATTCTTCCCCATTCTACAAGCCTTTCCCAGCTCTGCTGGGTAGCCGTCGAACAGAGGAGCTGAAGATTTGGGCTCTGGACCCAGAAAGCCTGGCTTTGGATTTGGAGGCACCACTTCATGAGCTCTGAGACCTAGGCCAGACATTCACCTTTCCGGGCCTTGGTTCCCTTATACGCAAAACGGAGATGATCATTCCTACCCCTTAGGACGCAAGGAGTTAATCCCTGCCTGGCGCTTCCAACAGGGTCGGCTTGGCTCAGGAAATCCAGGTGGGGTTACCTTGGAGCGGTACAGTCCCTCGAGGAAGTTCACAGCCCTGCCCCGGGAGCGCATGCCCACCCGGCTCTGAAGCCCCGGGACGCCCGGACTCACCCCGCGGCAGGAACGTGCCGCTGAGGTCCAGGACCTCGAGCGCGGCCAGGGGCGCGCCGCCCGCTCCGGCGAAGGCGGCGTCGGTGATGCCCGCCTGGGGGCCGCGGCCCAGCGCGGTGCAGGAGAGGTTGAGGAGGCGCAGCGCGGGGAAGCAGGAGAAGGCCCCGGGCTGCAGCGCCTGCAGGGGGTTGCCGGCGAGCGCCAGCGCGCGGAGGCTGGGCAGCGCGGGCCCGCCGCACGGCGGCAGAGCGGCCAGCCGGTTGTAGCTGAGGTCCAGTGTGCGCAACCCCGCCGGCCAGCCGGGGCCCCAGCGCAGCGCGGCGATGCGGTTGTGGCGCAGCGTCAGCTCCTCCAGCTGCGGCAGGTGGCCGAGCTCCGGAGCGCTCAGGGCGCCCAGCAGGTTGTGGCTGCCATCGAGGCGGCGCAGCGCGCGCGGCAGGCAGCCGGGGAGGCGCTCCAGGCTGCGGTTCACGAGGGTCAAAGTTGTGGCCCCTGCGAGGGGGAGCCCCTCGCAGGGCGAGGCCGTGCCGTTGCTGGCCCCGCTCTCCCAGGGACCCTGCTGTGTGAGTCGGAAAAGAGGGGTCCTTTCTTGGGGAGGCCCTGCTGGGCTCAGGCACAGCACCGTGGGCAGCAGCAGCAGCAGGGCCCACATGGCGCGTGGCTGGGGAGAGAACAGCGGGACAGCCCATTAAATCCAGCGGAAACCCCAAGGAAGGAGCCGATGGACCCCCCTACTCCCGGGCTCTGAGGAGGCGCACAGGCCCTGAACGTTTCCTGAATGGCGGGGGACATTCCCCAGTGTCATTGGGTGTGCAGTGACTTTGCCTCTGCCTGCTTTCCCCTACGTACATCATCTCCCCCACGTACACTGTGGCTCACCTTGCCTTTCCTTCTCCCAGCGATGCCCTTCTCTCTAATTCTGTGGATGCTAACCCACAGGTGACCTCTTGCGGAAGACCTCCCTCGTCTGTTCCGTGGGGGCCTGAGCCGTCCAGTAACTCCCTCTGTCTACTTGTCCCCATCCCATGAGCGTCTGGAGGTAAGGGAATGTACCCTTCATCGCTGTGAACTCTCCCCAGGCGCGCAGACGCTGCTGCATAGACGTCTGTTAATAATGAGCCGCTGAGGGACCTCAGTCTGGAAGAGGCTCTGCTGGGATATAAACATGGGACCTCAGGAAGATTTTGTCCATCCCAATAAAACTCAGTTTCCCCGGTTTTTCCCCTTAGAACTGCCCAGCCGCAGTTGAGTCGGGTTGGCATGTGACCTGGTTTGCAGGTCACATTTGAAAATAAGTTCTGGAGTCTCTTTCTTGGGAGGACACTCAGGGTTGCCTTCTGGAAGAAAGGAGTCCCCAGACAGCTGTGAGGCTTGGGAACTTGGAGTCAAGCATTTCCTGGTCCCAAGAAAAGCTAGGGCTCCTGAGGTCAGCCCTGCCCAGAAGGGATGGCTGAGGGCTTCTGGGTGTGGAGATTCTGGAGTACCCAGGATTGCACAGGGCAACTGGGAGATCAGGTTGGGGTAGATCAAGCAGCTCTGGGCTGGTTTGGGACCAACAAAACTATTTTTGACCAGGTCTGGCCTTGAGGTCACTGCTTGACATCCCCCCCATTTCTGCAGCTGTGTATTCTTGCCCTGGCTGTCTCTGCTGACCATTAGGTCTCTGAACAATCACCCAGCTTCCCTGGGAAGGACCTCCCTCTTGATGGTTGGGGGTCAAAGCAGTGAGAGAGATTCTGGAAACTAAGGCCCGGAGTCCGTTTGTCCTGCAGTATCTCATACTCACCCGGAAGATGTCCTTTTGGAGCGTGGCACCCCTGGATGACCCTTTGCAGTCTCCAATCTTGTCTTATAGATTCCAGGAGCCAGTGACTTAGACAGCAACTCAACTCTGAATTCCAGAGGGAATTCTGTTTCCCAGATGCCGCTGCCCTGGCCTGGCCGAGCCCCCACCCACTGAGAGAGCCTGAGATCCCCCAGCCTCTGGGGCCCCTCCTTGCCTACTGAGCCGTGTGGTCTTTAACGGGCACCCTCACTGCCTGGCTTCTCCTCCCACTCTGGGCCTGCGCCTGCCCCTTTCTGGGCCTGGCCCCTCCTCCCAGCCCTCCCGCAGCTTCACTGGCCTTTCACCACCTTTCCAGGCCTGAGGAATGGAGGGAGTCAGCTCTCCAGGGCCCAGGTGAGTGCTGAGGGCGAGTGGGCAATGTGAAGCAGAGGTGGCACCAGCCCTTCCCAGGAATCTGATCCTCCTGCCGGTGGCTCCCATTTCCTGGGACAGTTAGAGGCTGACTGGTGAACGAGCATGAGGAGGAAGGTGCCCCAGTTCGTAGGAAGGCATACATCAAAAAGTGGCAGGAGAGAGGATCCTCAGAGGAGTCTAGGGTTGGGGGCAGGCTCAAACCGGATCCAGGAGTCCCCAGGAAGAGTTGGTTTGGTTTCTCTTGGACCCAGTTTGGTGACAGCGTGGATGTTTGTCTCTCATAAGGAGTGGGAATAAATAAAGAGGGCAAATATACAGAAAGAACATTCCTGCCCCATGGCTGGGGTGATTGATCCCCATTACTGAGAGCCCCAGGTCTGCCTGAAGCCAAGGGGATGCTGACTGTGCTTTGTTTAGAGCACACATCACCTTTCTCCCCCAGAGTTCCAAGACTGGTCATGGCAGTCTGAGGGCCTTTGATCTCTACACAAACACCCCCCCCCCCCCCCCACTCCACCCAGGCCAGGGGTTAACCATTCCTAGTGTTGTGTACACAGACCCTGAGACCAGAACCTCATGGATCCTTCCTCCTGTCAGTCCTTATCTGAGCAGCCCTGAGGAACTCCAGGACCCCTCAGAACTAACATGTTGGGTTAATTAGATAATTGCAAGTCCCTGGGGATCTCATTTGAGGCCTCCTCTGCTCAAAGCCTCAAAAATATCCTTCCAGCCTAAGTGCCAGCCCAGGGCCTTGCTGCACAAAAGCGTCCCTTCATGGGCTCCAGGTAGGGGCAGAGGTCTCATCTGGGCAGCCCTGTCTGGGGCAGTGCAGTCACTACCCAGGGATCCTGAGGCCCAGGCCCCAGAGGTAGAAACACTGTACTGTGGACAACACGGGAAGCTAAGGGGGAGGGAGAAGTCGGGGGAAAGGTAAGGAGGTGAGAGGACCAGCATGAGGGCCAGTGGGTGGCCTCAGGTTAGGCCCTTACCTCTGCCTTGGCTTGGTTCACCGGGCACAGATTGTGTATCAGCTCCTCTCAGAGTAAACCAGCCGGTACACCCTAGAGGCGATGGACCACCCGAGGCCAGCAGGGCTTTGGGGAGTTCAGGCAGGGCTGCCCAGATGAGAGGGAACCACATCCACTTTTGAACAGAGGCCCTGGGGAGGAAGGAAGTTGGCCCCCATGGAAGTCTATAGAAGAGGACCCTAGGGAGCCATATTGGGGTGCTCATCTGTACACCAGTGGGGCAAGAAGTCTGGAGAGGCCCTGGCTGAGGAGCCCCCCTGAGGCCATCTCCCTGCACTTTCCCAGAGCCTCAGGCCCTCTGAGTCAACTGCTTGTCCCTGCTGCTTGCTGCCTAGCTCATCAGTGGAGGCCAGAGCCTGGCCTGGGCAGGCTGCCCCGAGGTCTGAGCTCCGCCCTCTGCTCTGTTGCTCTGGTCATACTGAACCCAAGCAGACACACCCTTGGCGGGCTGCCCAGTGGGGCTTTTGAGCTGGGGAGTCTGGTGGCAGCCCCTACATGGCAGAGTTTGCTGACTGGTCTCCCCTAGATGGCAGGTTTGCGTTGCCCCAGTGGGTGCAAACTGCTTGTCCCCTGCTTTTTTTTTTTTTTTTAAGGGAGTTTAATCTTTTTTATTTGTCTGAATTGATTTTTTTTATTGAGTTATTGATAGGTTACAATCTTGTGAAATTTCAATTTTACATTAATGTTTGTCAGTCATGTTGTAGGTGCACCACTTCACCCTTTGTGCCCACCCCCTACCCCACCTTTCCCCTGGTATCCACTAAACTGTTCTTAGTCCCCTGCTTTTTTAAGGTGAGCAATTATAATCAGCGTCTAATGCCGTATTCATTATCACATTGAATGCTCACCAGGTACTATTATTCCCATGCTGTAGATAAGGAAACTGTGGCTCACAGAGGCTGACTAGGGCCTGGAGCACACAGCTAGTTTTAGTCTATCTGGCTTAACCACTGCATCAAATTGCCTTCCATGAGCCTCAGCATTTGACACTGTAATATTCCCTGTAAGCCAAGAGAACCTTTTCTAAATGTTTAGACAGACCCAAATCGTGTGAGAAGCCTGGGAAATTTCCTTTCGTAGTTGAGCAGCTCATTCTCCAAAGAAACAGAGCCGACTTCTTAGGCCCCTGTGGGCCCAGGACTGAGGCAGACACCTGGGCAGGGCCACCAGGCACCTCTCAAATGGCCCTGGCCATCTTCTCCAGCCCCTTCTCCTCTTCCAGCACCTCTGGGAGATCAAGAAAAGATGACTAAAGTATTTGTTCCCTCCAGACAAGGATGCTAAGGTCCCACAGCAAAGTCCTGGAGCCAACAAGTATGTGTCCTTCAAATGGCACAGCATGCCAAATGCCGTGCCGTGTCCTGCCCTCCATCACTTTATCCAGCAGGCTCCCCCTGCCTGGGTGCTCTCCCCTTGACTACTTTCTCTTTTTTTCAGCTCACTCTTCCCTACCTACTGTAGGTTCCCTCAAAAATGTCCCCTGAAATAAGGACTTGGACACAGGTAGTTTATTTGGGAGGTGATCTCAAGCAACACAGAGAGGGAGTAAGGAAGTGAGGCAGAAAAGGGAAGGCTCTGCAGGGATGTTCATGAGCAGGTCACTCAATCCTGCTGAGACCCTCTGAGAGACCGTGCAGAGCGTGCCTCAGGATCGCTTCATCAGGTGGCGAGGAAGTGGGGGTATTGACCCACCACCTACTGCTTCTTGTTGGCTCAAGGGTTTTCCCTGTGGCTTTAACTCCCTGGAATGTCTGGCTTGCCCTGAGCACAGATTGAGCAACTCCAGGGAGAGCTAAGGGGATGTGGGTGGGCACTGACAGCATCTGCTATAGCACCCTTCAAGATTTCACCCAAGTGGGTCCTCCCTTGGTGTTCTCTTTCAGAATTGATGTGACTTCTCCCTACCTCATGACTAGGCTTCCTGAGAACTGGGCCACGTAGTTCTTCTTGGTAGCCCAGGTGCCCAGCATGGAGTCTGAGACTCAGGAGAAATGTTCACCAAATGAATGGGAAGAGTATGTGGTGAGTCACGATGTCCTTCATAGTGCCTGGGAGTGGATGGGGCAGGACTCACTCAAAACAGTAAACGTTAAATTCAAGTGCCTGAGATTTGCAGTCTAGGTCTGCCAACATGCCAGCCTTGAGAAGAGCTCAGGTGAGGGTTGAGATAGGGCATGGTGGGTGGAGGTGAGGGTGGAAGGAAAGAATTGAGTCACAAAGAAGTTTCCAATCCAGATTCCCAACACAGTCCTGGATCCTTGGGGGAAAGGTCTCTTGGAGAAGATCACATTGTCGAGTGTTACTAAACTCATAGCCTATGGGAGGAAAAAAAGTCAGTAGTTATACACTTGGCCACACTTCCTTTTTGGATTTAGGTCAAAATCGGTGTCATGGATCCTTGGCCTTAGAAATAACTTTAGAACTTGTCTGGTTCCACACCTCCCTTTCCATTTTAGAGGGAGAAAACTGAGCCCCAGGGAGGGAAATTGGCTTGTCTGAGGTCACATAGGTGAGTCGCAACATTCCAGGGAGAAGGAAGGGCGATGTAATTCTTACTATTCTATTCTGGGCTCTGGGCTCATTTGCACAGTCGACCAGATTCCACTTGCCGTGACATTAGCAATGTGAGCCTTTTCCCACAGGTATGGCTAAGGAAACACACTTGGTGAGTGTCAACTCACTGAGAAGTTTCTAGGGGTTCTGACCACCTGCTCTCTCCATCCCATCCTCAGAACTCTTACAGGTTGCCCCAGAGACCCAGAGTTGTTGTTTTCCAAGAGGGTCATCCTGTCCAGCTCTGTTCACAGCTCCGGAAGCCTGGGGTGGGGTGAGGTGTGGGGGCGGGAGTGGGCATAGAGGACAGGTGACTGCTCAGCCCTGCCCTCCAGACACCAGCTGGCTCTGCTGCGTGTTCTTCCCCCGAATGCTGGAGTCGGAATGTACAAGCTTAAAGGCTGCATTCTTCTCTGACACCAGAGATAAGCTGGAGGGATGGGAGGGTGATTGCGGGGGAGACGGTACCAGCTTGTCAAGTCTCCGGGCAGCCAGCTCTCACAGAATGGTATGCAGAAAAGAGGCTTTCCAGTGCTGAGGACCAAGATATCTTAGTGGGCTCCACTGACGTGGTCGACCTGCCTATGAGGAAATGGTCTTGAGGAGGGAATAAAATAGCAATGGGTTGAGACTTGTGTTTATTTCCTATTGAGGCATCACTCAATAGCAGTAAGATTTCAGCATGAGGATTTGTAGAATGCTTAGAATTTTAAAAAATACTGTTTGAGGTCCTATTAAAATCTGTAATGGAAGAGAAAAAGATTCAAACTGCAATGAGAGGTCAGACTCTAATCTGTCGCTTTATTTTGCACGTAGGTATAGGAAGTGGGACAAGATAGTATATAGGCTGTTTTTATAAACTACATGCTGGAATTTACCACAGCCAGAGGCAGCACATGAAATAAAAAGGCCCGAAACCGGGACACAGGATACTGGGTTCCTGTCCTAACACTGCTGCTATTTTGTTGGGTACAATGTCTATGTTCTTAAGCTTCTGTATGTTTCATATTTTCCGTCTGTAAAGTCAATGAATTGGTTCAGGCTTAGCAATTCAGCACACATATCCTGAGAACATGCCAGCACGTGCCCCAGGTGCTCAGCATATAAAATGGGGACCTGGAGATGAACAAGGCCTGGACGCTGCCCTCAAGTAGTTCCCAGTCTGGAAAAGGGGAAAGGCAGACAACGATCACGAACAGTGTGAAGGCACTATCACGTCACCAAGGCCTGACCTGTGAGCTCTGGGAGCCCAGGGAATGTATCCAGCTTGTTCACCGCCCTGTATCCCAGTGTCGGGCAGTACCGGCATACGGTATGTGCTTACGAAATATTTGCTGAATGAATGAGTGCTCATTAACTGTAGCCTCCTTTTTTGTTTCTGATTAGTTGTATTTCCTTATTTGGGATCTTCCACAGAAAAGCAGTCAGGGTTTGCCTGTATATTTATTTAGGTTTTTAATATGTTAAAGAAACTCTTCCAAAAGCAAAAGTGTTGGAGTTGCATAAACAAGGCAATGCTTTGGAATCTCATAGAGCTTGAATGTTATTTAGTCCCCATTGCTACAGCAACTTGCGCACACAATGTGGATATTCAAAAAAATTTTGTTAGGTAAAGAAATGCATACTATCCAACAAGCATATGAGCATATGCTTAACATCATTGCTCACATGAAAATGCAGATTTAAACCACAAGGACATGCTACTAACCATCCACCAGAATGGCCAAAATTAGAAAGACTGACAGTACCAACTTTGGGAAGGATGTTGAGCATCTAGAACTCTCATACACTGTTGCCTGGGAATGTCCAGTGGTACAACTACCTTGGAAAACAGACAATATTGATGAATGCTAAGCATACATCTACCTAATGACTTAGCAATTGCACTCCTGGGTTTATACTCAAGAGAAATGAGTACATGTATCCACCAAAAGAATGTTTAATAGCAACTTTATTTATAAAAGCGCCAAACTGGAAACAACCCATAAATTATAAATAGGAAAATGGATACATAAGTCATGGTATAATTATACAATAGGCTACTACACAGCCACGGAAAAGAATGAACTATGACCCACTCAATAACACAGATGAATCTCACAGGTGTTATGTTGAACAACAGAAACTAAGCACAAGTGTACATACTGTATGGTTCCATTTCTATGAAGTTCAAGCACAGGCAAAACTAATCAGTGGTCAGAATACTGGTTACCTCTGAAGAGCATCCCAGGTAGAGGGCCCAGTATGTGCAAAGGAATGGAGGTATAACAAGGCATGGTGTGTTGAGGGAATGGGCAGCTCAGAACGGCAGGATAACAGGGGCCATAGAGGAAGAGTGTAAGGAGAAGAGATTGGAAATGTTATGTGGGTCATTTTGTGAAAGGCCCTGTGGTAGTCATTAGTGATATCTGCCACATATTTCAGGTTCTCTCCTTTCTGGCCACTTGGCAAGATTGTTCTTCCTGGTCCTTTGCAGTTGAGTAGGGCCATGTTTCTATGTTTTGTTCTGGCTGATGAGTTGTAACAGGAAGTGATGTGTGTCACTTCCAGACAATGCATTTAATTGCTAGTGTGAGACCCTCCACTGCTCTTTCTTCTCCTCTGGCAATTGACACTGTTTGGGATGGTGGCTACTCCATCATCCTGGGTCCCTAGGAAGACCAGAGCTCCCCTGAGGCTGAACACATGGATATACAGTGTGAGAAATAAATCTTGTGGTTTTAGGTTGCTTGTTACTGCAGCATAGCCTTATCTATTTGTATTGATACAGGTCTTGATTATGGTGTGAAGTTCATTTGTTCATTCACTCATTCACACATTCATTTATTCATTCAACACATTGAAAGTCTGCTTTGTATTGCTTCTGTGCTAAATGTTGGAGCAGATACAGTCCCTCCTCTCAAAGAGCTTTCATTCTGTTGAGGAATACAGACAATAAGCAGATAAATGAATATAATTAGAGATTGCATTAAGAGTTTTAAAGGAAATA